TTTGAAATTGCCGAGGAAGCAGCTCAGAAAGGTGCGTAGCCATTGTGCATCATCGAAAACGTATTGCATTTCAATGAGTTCTTAATATTTGTAGCTGAACTGAACATCAACGATCCGGGCGGAGGATTGGAGTTCAATGCGTTCGCCAGCTCCGACTCGAATGCTACCGTGGATGGCAATGTGACCAGCGAAGGAGGCCAGATCGCAAATGCTGCGGCAGCCGCAGGCAGCAATGAGACTGTCGAGGAAGTGCCGATGCCCGTCTTCTCGGAGTGGGCGCAAAAGCAAATCGAGGCAGAGGCGAGTCGCGAGCAGGCCATGGAGCTGGAGCAGCAGGTTGTTAACAATTCGGCGCAGCGTCGAAATGCCACCGGCTCCGGCAGCGGCAAGCCGCCGTCGCTGAAGCTGCGCGCCAAGAATTATGCCTCGCCCGACTGCGGCGCCAAGATAATTGCCTCGAATGCAGATGCCACCAACACGGGCGCCGTACTGAGCCACTCGAGTGACGAATACATGCTCAGCACATGCGGCAGTCGTATCTGGTTTGTGGTGGAGCTGTGCGAGGCCGTGCAGGCGCAAAAAGTGGAGCTGGCCAACTTTGAGCTCTTCAGCTCGTCGCCAAAAAACTTTACAGTGGCCGTGTCCAAACGGTTTCCGACTCGCGACTGGAGCAATGTGGGCCGCTTTGCGGCAGAGGACAAGCGCACGGTGCAAACGTTCGAGCTACATCCGCATCTGTTTGGTAAATTTGTGCGCGTCGACATACATTCGCACTATTCCAAGGAACACTTTTGTCCCATTTCGCTTTTCCGTGTGTTCGGCACATCCGAGTTCGAGGCGTTCGAAACAGAGATCCGGCACAGCGATGAACTGGACGACTTTGACGATGACTTTGGCGGGCAGGAACAGTTGCACAAGACACTTTCCGGCACCGATGGCGGCGGTGCCAACATATTTCAAAGCGCCTCCGATGCGGTCATCCAGATGGTCAAAAAGGCTGCCCAGGTGCTGGTGAAACCATCCAAGCCGTTACGCTGGTCCACCGATTCCATGCTCTGTTTCACACCCACCGCTGGCCTTTACAGCTGCCAGAGCTGCAACAGCTCTGCCGTGGATCGCATTAACAACCTTCTGTCCTGTCAGTCGCAGCAGCTGCATCAGCTCCTCCTGCTGCCGCAGCTGCGCACACATTTGCTGCAGACTCGCATTTGTCAAGCCGACTATAACATCAGCATGGGCTCGTCCAGGGAGGAAGAGGAGCGCGCGACAAGCGGAATGGACAAGCGCCAAAGCTTCTACCTTAGCATGTTGCCTGCGGAGCATGTGGGTGCCATGTGCAAGCTTCTACAGGCGGAGTACAGCAGCGTCGTCGAGTATCCGGTTGAATTGCCTGAGGCTGAATGGCAGCGGAATCTCGATGCAGCACAGCATTTATTCGAAAATGTGACCATAGCTGACCCGTCCAAAGAGTCGGAACCAGAGGCTAAAGTTAACGCGCCGAATGATTCCCTGCCTGCCGTTACACCCACCTTGGAAGTAGTATCTGCCGAGATGTCCACGGCCACTGAAAAACCTGCAACCGATGCCCAGCTTGATCCACAGCCAACAGATAGCTCCACAATAGCGGCCCCACCATCTGATGTGAATATATTTAATGTACCAACTGCTGACACCCAGAAAAATCCCACACAAGGATCAGTACCCATTGTTCCCGACACGCCGACGGCTACGCCAGCATCGCAGGTTGACCCCAACGAAGTGGAGGCCTCCAAAACGCCTCCTAGCCCGACGACTAGCCACCCACCAACAAGCTCGGGCGAATCGGACAGCGCAGACCTTGTAGGGAGCGGCAACGGACTGGATGACAGCAATCTGTCCAACTGGGAGAGCATCGATAGCCTACTGACTACAACGGTTGCGTCAATAACGGCAGGTGGTGGTGCCGCTGCGGCTGCAGCGGCCGTGGTCAATGGCAATGCAAACATCGGAGGCACTGCCAATGCCGGAAATGCGGGTAGCCTAAATTTACAGCCAAAGTTAACGCACGGACCGCAATCGGAGAGCGTTTTCATAAGGCTATCAAATCGAATTAAGGTGAGTGGCAATTATCTTGGTATAGAAAGTTACGTGTTGTAAAATAAGTTGGAGCCCCGATTATTAATAATCGCTGTGACACGTCTTAAATTAACGTACGAAACAATCTGTTAAAATCAGATTGAGGCAAGTCTAACGTAAAACAAACCACAATTTAAAAAATAGTTTCCACATTCTCATCTCGACCACTTTAAGGAAATATTTTTTCGATCCGAACGAGCTGAGTCTATTTAACCATGTCCGACTGAGAGATCGCGTTGATCTAGGAGACTGCAAAAGCTCTAAATTTGAAATATATAACCTTCTTTACCATACGCAGAAAAAGTTTTTTTAATAATCGTTTTTTTTTTTCGTTTTTTCCGATCGATTTTGAGGCATTAGCATAAGTCAGAAATTATATGAGCTGCATTTAACAAACTTGCCATAAAGTTTCTTTGGTATTTGCACACATTATGCAGCCATATTCAGATTTTTTATTAAAAGCTTAAACAGATCGGACTATAAGCACCGAAGATATGCAAGAACAAATTTACTTATAGAGTGCCGCAGCGTAAACTGTGCATCAAGCTTTGTGCGTGCGATTGTGTGTGTAGAAGGAAGTTTTATTGATTGTAAGGGGAGCTTGGGTTAAGAATAACTCGCAATCGGGCCCGCGTCTTGGTGTTTCAAAGAAATCTACTCAGCGCGGATGTCAGTAAGGACATAGAAACTTCGTTAGTCTTCGCCCGCTTCCGTGGCGTGCTTGTGGCAGCCTCGCATGTTGTAGACGTATTACGGTTGGCTGCTATTACACCTGGCCACACCCCTATTACGTTATTCCAGTTAGAGCTTTGTTTCACCTATTTGCGAAGGTGGCCTTGTCATGGCCACTGTTTGGCTACATCAACAATGACGTCAAAGGCGCCAAGCAGCCGTGCGTTGTTAAATGTTATCCAATTCTGTCTTTTGCAGGCGCTCGAACGTAATATGTCGCTGTCGGGGCAGTATTTGGAGGAGCTGTCGCGTCGTTATAAAAAGCAGGTGGAGGAGTTGCAGCAGACCCTTACACAACAGTCGCTAACAGTGCGCACTCTGGAGGATCAGAGTCGACGATTTATTGACCAGGAACAACTCTACAAGCAGCAAAGCGCCGAACTGGCTGGCGAGGTGCGTGCCCTTACATACCAAGTGCAGGCCTGCATCCTCGTCATCATCATAGTGGGCACGTGCATCTTCCTTATGCTAGTGCTGGGAACTGTCTACTATCGCAAGTTGCGGCGCCAAACCCAGCAGTTGCTGACGCAGCCAACGACGGCTAATAGCCAGCAAAAGCTCAGCCGGCGCAAGTCATATGAGCAAATGATGCAGCAGTCGCCCGGCAAGCAGCGCAGGCCTAGCGAGGAAGCCATGCTCATACTGAATGGCTGTGGAGACTCGTCCCTGACGGAACAGTCCGATGCTGGCAACGGCAACGGCAGGCAGCGTAAAATATCAGTCTGCTATGGGAGCAACAACAACATTGCCAACCACATGGGTAGCACAAGAGCTTCGCTGCACAGGCGAAAAGGCGCAAAGCATTCCTGGCACGCTAGCTTAGATTCGGCGCAGGTTTCGTGCGGTGAGAATCCAGACAAGTTCTTCGATGTGGGTAAGTAAACTGATTGAATTCGCAACAATGGCAACTTATGCTAAACATATTTATTAATTTGTTGCAGACACTCTCAAGAGTAATAAAATGCAAAATAAGTCCGCCAAAAGGAAATCGCTGCAGCAGTTCCAACAGGAGCTGAAACGCCAGGAGTCGGCACCTGCCAGCTTTACGGAAAACAGTCTAACTGAGGAGCCTACGCAGAGCGACTTTGACGAGAGTCTTATCCTGGACGACGAAGATCTGTGCAATTTCATACCCAACACTGATTTGGCCTACAACGAATTTATGCCTGACGGCCCATCAGGCTACCAGATCCTAGACACAGTCGATGGAAAGGCTGACAAGGGTCAGGCAGTGAAAAAGTGTCGACGCGTTTCGTCCCCGGCGTTCTTTAAGTCGCCGTTTAGCAAAAATAAAAACAAAGGAGGCAATCTGAACGGCATGGGTGGCGTAAAGGGCAGCCAGTCGGCGCATGAGGCGACTTCTTGGGAGTGGTATCGCCTGAGGCGCAGCGAGAAGCAGTCGAAGCAGTTGTCAGTGCCAAGTGTATCTATCTCTTCGACACCCAATGCGAGCCTGGACAATTCATCTCTGTCGGAAATCAACTTTCCTTTCAACTCAACACAAAACTCCTTTCGCATACTAGGCGAGGCCATACTCTCCTCTGGCGAGAGTAGGGCCAGCGGCAAGGGCAGTGCTGTTGCCGCCGGCAGCAGCAGTAGTAGTGGCGCCAGTACCACATCCTCGACAACGAAAAAGAAGCAGCGTGCTTTCAATAATATATTTCGAAAAGTCTTTTGAACACGAAGACGTTTGCCGACTATTTAAATGTTTTACTTATTAAATTGTTCCCTGAATTGTGTTCAGTTAGGTTGTTCTACCAACGGCATCAATTGGACTGATGTTATCTACGTGGATAATTAAAAATTTTCGTGTGAATGAAACACTCCAGTTTTGTAAAATACCGGTCAAAAGATTCATTTTGTTTCTCTCAAGAGTTCCTTAGTGTTGCAGTAATATGCAAATGACTGTCAAATCAAATTAGTTATACCTTCATTTGATTTTTAATTGTAATTATATGCTCGCTGCTTGTATATACATTTAAACAATGGAAATCTACAATATTTGCTTTCACGAAAGGCAAGCTTCTTAACTTAATATTCCAAGCCTTTTTTGCTCTTGCCCAGCGCTAATTAAAGTATTTAGTTTATAAGCATTGCAAATTGTCGCTGTATTAGTTTGTTATTAGCCTTATTACAGCCATTACTTATTGAAATAATTATAAATTGTACGTTTATTTAAAGTAAAAGCAGATAACATTTATTTATAAAATCAATACAATCTGATTTTTATATTTTCAAATCACTCAAAAATTCCGCAACATCGAGCGCATCTTTGTTAGCCAATTTACGATCCCTGATAGCACTGTTCAGGTGACGTCCGGCTGTACCCAAGTGCTTCTTCCATTGCTCGACCGTTTTGTACTTTTCATCGTTGGCACAGAAAACAACTTCATTGATATCTTCGTCCAGTTTATAGCTACAAACAGATGCAAACTCTCGCTGCAGATCGCCTATCGCCTCCTCGCGCAACGATTCATCTCGACACACCAGATTTAACATGAAGAGGCCATTCGGCCCAATGATCTCCTTTATGTACATAAGTATCTTGTGGGCAAGAAAACTTTTGGGCGGACAGCTCATGCCGAGGGACAGATCCTTACTATCTACATCGAAAAGCACAGCTGCAAAATGTATGCCTGCAAAATTAAATGTAGTAAAGTAGTTCCAAACAATAATCAATGACTTTTGTACCTTCATTACAACAGCGCTCTACAAAGGCGAGGCCATCATCTATGACTACATGTAGGCGGTCGTCTTGCTTAAGCTCAAAATATTGCTCAGCTACTTCCAGCATTATGGGATCTATTTCTACAGCCGTAATACGTGTTTGACTGCAACGAAAATTGAATTAGTTAGGGAGAAAACAAATAATAAATAAGAAGACTTACGGAAAGGCGGCATGTAGGAAACTGCACAACCCACCGCCGCCCAGCCCAATGACCAGCACGTCGTTCTGTATATCTTTCTTCGGGCATTGCATAGTCGCGGCCAGCTGCACGCCCACGGACATGAAGAGATGATGATGGCATGCCAAGTAGCCAAAGTCTATTTTTTTACGATCCTTTTTCCCTTTGATTTTCACTAAAAAAAAAGTTCATAAGTATACATATGTACATAGATCGCCGAAAATCTGGATTCTTACCTGTTTTCACTAAAGCTTCTGATTGCACCACAAACTGATTTTTGAGGAATATCAGACGGCGAAGTGTTTTACCATCGACTTCCACTTCTTCAATGCGAAAGTCGCCAGATAATTTAGAGAATCCAGAAATCAGCGTCTCCCGCTTTCCTACTTCGGAGCCCAAAGATAAGTAGGGAATCTGTTCCTTCAGACCTGCAGGCGCGAGATTCGTAATGCTATAAGCCAGTTCACTCTTCACCTCCTCCAGTGTGCTATAAACCTGATCGCGATGCAATGTCACTACAGCCAGTCGCTGAAACTTGGCGGATGCCTGCAGTTTTTTTCGACCTGCGGTTGTTGCAAAAAGCCACTCGGTTTCTCGCCCTTGAGGCACAATAAATGCGGCATATTTGCCAAGACCTCGCGATGGCATTTGATCCATGACATGAACCGTATATCGAGGCGTTGGCTCTGCAGCCCGATGCAGGTCCATGGTGACTTCATTATGGCCAACAATACTAGAGCGCGCCAATCCATTGCAGACCAGCGCTGCTTTTTGCACAGAGGCCACAGCATTAGTGAGATCCGCCGGACAACTAAAACGTTGCATTTTGTCGCTACCGAGTCCAAACTCAAGGATCTATAAGCGGTTTTGTTATGCAAAAGTATTGTGGTAAACTGAGGCAGTTACTCACCGGCATAGGCAAGCTCTTAAACTTAGTGGCAATTATAACAAAAACAGGTAGCGTTAGGGATTCCTCGGCATTTCTTTCCTGGTTGGCACGCTCCACATCCAGACAGTGCACAATGCGCAACATGCAGTTGTTACGCGGCAGAAACTCCAGCAGATAGTCAAGGATGTGCTCCTGCAACATGGATATACCAACATATCGACCTCCATTTCTGAAATTTAGGAAGATTATAATACACCACAATTAATGATGCGGCCAGATGGACTTACCGCATTGTGCGCAATATTTCTCCAAAATAACGATCTACAATATGTTTGGTGTCCTCGGCATCATTCACAAATATGGCATCTAGTGTGCCCTTATCCAAGGCCACTGAGAAGCTCTCGTCTGAAAATGACATATCCGTTGCGTCCATCTGAATGAACTTCATGTCCGGCCGTGTTTTCGCGTTTATCTCTATCATTTTTTTCACAGCAACAGGAGAGATGTCAATGTTAGTTATATCCCGAAATCCCGTGTCGTACATGTCCATGCTGAGTTTTGAATTGCCGCAACCAAGCATCAGAATTTTGTCGGCGGGCTTTATATACTTGTGTATCTGATCGCATAGTTCCAAATACTCGCCATACCTGAAATACTTAATATTTGCAATTAAAATATTTATCACTGAGCCTTTCCCTCCTCATGTTCTAAACACGCAAAGACCGGCATACGGTGCATGTGTTTATTACATGCGAGCAATTACCATTCAAACGCCTTTTCACCGCGTTTTTTGAAGAATTCATTCCAGTAGTCCGTTTGGGCAAACTCCTCTCGCGTTCTTGGCAACAAATTCATTGTTAGTTCTTAGCAAATAAATTGTAGTCAGCTATAAGCACGTTTGTTGTTTATCGCGCAGTTGATGCTACTTCAATGTTATTCAAAAATATGCTAAATTTGGACACATAATTGTGACGTCACATATCAGCGCGCAAAGTTTGTTTGAGTAATTGGTTTGTTTATGTCTCCCATAAATAACTTCGGAATAAATTGAATTTCTGCTAGACCTATATTTTCTGTGTCAGAAAAAAGGTTTCTTGTGTAAATTAAATAAGTAACAAATAAAGCTTCTCGATCTAGCAATGCCAAGCGTGCGAGTATCGATAACAATTACAATTGAATATCGTAGTTCGATAGTAGACAGGAGCAATAAAAATAAATTCAAGTTCTTTTGTCGTTTTTATATTCTTCAAAATGCATAATTCAAATAGCAGTTGAATTAAAAATTGAACATTATTAATGAATATAAGCCAGTTTTTGTACGATGCCTAAATGTGCGTTTAAGTGAGATTATTGCTGCCCTGTCGCAACTAATCCAAGCCAGTGAATATATGGTAAACCAAGTTTTCACACTTTTAACCCTTAAAAATTATCCTTGTGCACTCTTAGTGTCACAGAATATTATTCACATGTCAATAAGAAATTTTTTATTTAAATAATTGTAAATCATCATTAAAACTTAAAGTAGGGAGTAACGTTTATTTGTATTTTAATGTTAACAGGAGGAGGAGTTTTCTGTAAATGTAAGCAGTTTTACCCATTCGCAAGCATATGCAATTTTTGATTTTGCCATTCACTGCGAATAGCACACAGCTGAAAACTGATTTTTTTGCTTGTTAAAGTTAACTTGCGCTTTGTTTCTGTTGGATTCGTGGGCATTAACATAATTGATTTAACCCTTTTTGTGCAATCTCATGCTGCTGCGTGTACGTACACAACAAAGTGAAGGTCGCGGATTGTAGAAAGCATTACAGGGACAGAGTAAAAGTAACAGCATCATAAAAGGGGGAGGCGATCCGATGTTATCGCTTGCTACGAAGTTTTTCACATCTAAATACGACACAATGGAAATCAATTGAGGCACGTCAATGTCAACGTCAGTTGCACACAATATAAGCAGCAACACCTATCGGCTTGTACGAAGTGTTAGTGGAAATGTGAAGAGCAATTGCAATTCGTAGAACCTAGAACTGGAACGGGTGGAACAGTAAGAGTTGCAAATGCGTGCCACAGTTGGACTTGTGCAATCTCATGCTAGCGTGGAGCCAGTTATGTCACGTCTTGATTACGAGCAGAATGCTCTCCACCATAGCTGCTTGCTGGTGCTGCTGCGCGGTGTGGGGCCTTCACGCGCCCGCATTTTGCAGCGGGCCTTTGAGAAGGTGCGACGTGTCAATAATATCAAAGTAACGGGTAACTTTACTGAAACTATAAATCGAAATAGAAGTGGGACATTTGATAATGGTTTAAATTCTCGTCTAGATTCTAGCGGCACTGTGCGTACCATTTATTTTCGCTTCATACATGATCATCCCGTGGAGCACAACGATTGGGGCGACTTTCAAACGCATCGTCGCCTGCTCGGCCTCATAACAATTGGAAAGTTTGAGAACCAAACGGAGCTAAACGAGCTGTGCCGGCACCATGAATCCCTTAAGGTGCGCTATGGCAGCACGCTATACGAGTCACGTGCCATATTCTTTGGACCCGATGCAGACACAAAGCACACCTCAAGCACAAGCGCTGTGGTCAATGGTCAGCCTGTGCTACAAACAATTGGTGAACACACCGCCAACGCAGATGTAGTAATTAAGGGAGAGCAGCCCCAGGTTCCTGGCCGCCTTCAGGATGAGTACACCACGCCGTCCAATTTCAAGTCGCAGGCATTTTTTTATCGGGAGCAGGATGCCGGTATGGATCTGGAAGCACGTATCGGTGATTTTTTAAGCGCACTGTTTTGGGTGCTGGAATCACGACGCCTTGAACGTTCGCGTGAAAAAGCCGACAAGGTTAGTCTGCTGCTGGCGCCCTTTGAGAAACGCGACTTTGTGGGCTTGGACATGGAGTCGCGCAACAACCGCAAGCGCTGTGTGGGCCGTGTGATGAAGAACTTGGCAGATCTGTCCTTGCAGGCTGGTCTCTTGGATGATGCGCTAAGCTTGTATCACAATGCCAACGAAACACTGCGCTCAGTTGGCGATTCTCTGTGGGTGGGGGCGAGCGAAGAAGGATTGTGCGCGGCATCGGCTGTTTTTCTGTATCCACAAATGCGGGAGATTGAAACGCTACACAGGAACGCATCTTTGCAAGAAACAGGCATGCTTATTTTTGATTTGTTTTATTTTGTTATTGTTGTATGCTAATTTCTAATCGAATTTCAGGTACTTCACCACTACGGAGCACGCCGGAGAAATGGCGTGCCAGCGATGCAACTAAGAAAATAAATACGGCCGTCGTTATGACGGGAACCACGACCGCGGCATCAGCAAACTGCGCAGACGCTCTTACCTCACACTCTTCTTCCTGCTCATCGGTGTCATCCCTTTTGACCAACAATTCCTCAGCATCGGGCACGCCCACAACATCAACATCCTCTTCCTCGACATCGACAATATCGGTAGCGCCGTTTGGCCAGCGGAATGGCGAGCTGCCCGGGAATATACTCAAGCCTGAGGAGATAACCAATTATTATCGGAAGGCGATAATTAACTATAGCAAGTACCGCCATGCTGCAACCATTGAGACAGAGGCTGCTCTGAAGGCTACGCGCATTTGTATTGAACAGAATCGACCGCTGGATGTGGCCATGTTTCTTCAAAACATTCTTTACATAAATCTCAGCATGAGCGAGTCGGAGCGCGTCAAGCGATTCGAAGTAATCACGGAGCTGTATCAGCAGATCGGATACCAGCGTAAGGCTGCATTTTTTCAGCGCCTGGCTGCGCTTAAGCATGTTCAACAGGGTACTCAGACACCAGACTGGACTCAGAGCTATCGTCTAATGCTGGGCAGCTTTACTGGCTATCTGCTATCGCTGGATCCTCTGGAAGTGCTAGAGAATGCAGCAGGTTGGCCGGCACTGCAAATAGATCTTGTACAGAGTCTTATATCTGCAGCGAGACGTCTGGGACACTCTGCATTGGCTACTCGCCACATGACGTTTCTGCTTCAAACACAATGGGACAATATGTCTCCTACGGAGCAAAGTGAAATGGCTGTACAGTTGCAGGTGTGGATTTTGAAATACATTTTGTTAAAGCTCGATTTTATAATGTTGCTCTGATGAAATTGATTCTTTCAATTTTAATTAATTTTGAGCAACATATTTTAACCGAAACTAATTTTTGTCCGCTAATAAATATTTTTAACATTTTCTCTTTAATGTAGAATCTGAGCGCACAATGTGAAGGCTCGCCTGTGCCACTTGTGCTAGAAAATGGGACTGTGATACCGCCCGCCAATCTCACGGATTTACCATACTGCATGCAGGTGGTAGCAAGAGATTTACCTGCCCACTTGCGCCCGCTGCGAATCAAGATCGCCAAAGCCGACAGTGGCCCATTTCTGTTCACACCTATACACTTTAATTCTGTTGATCGCCGGGATAAGAAAAAGGACAAAAACAAAATAGGCAAGCGTAATAATGGGACCTTAATATAAACAGACTTATTTATTATTTGCTTCTTTTACAGACTTTTTATGGGTGCAAAATGATCTTTGTGAGGTATGCGTTACCCTTCGCAATCCATTGCCCTTTGAGCTGGCCGTCACCGACATGCGTCTACTTACAAATGGAGTAGTCTTTGAATCGTTGCCCCAGACAATTGTTTTGCAACCGCATGTGCCCACGATTGTCTCTCTACACGGAACACCTATTGAAACTGGCCAGTTGGATCTGCAGGGATATAGTACTCATACGTTGGGTGTCAAGTCTAACTGTCGGCTGAAGCACATGCGAAGACGCAACTTTCCGCCTAATTATCTGCTGGATGTGATACCAGCCCTGCCAAGTATCACTATCAAAACATCGCTTCCACAGTCGGCCACATTTAGCAACATGAACAGTGCGGACCTTGTGGTTACATCTGCAAGTCTGACATTGTACAATGGAGAATCCTCAAGTTGCATCATAACCATCAGGAACGAAAGCAACACATTGCCGCTGGAGCACCTCGAAGTAAGCATTAATTCAAATGTGGAGCAAGATATGCATAAGAAAATGTTTCGAATTGATGAAGCGGCTCTGCAGGTAAACTAATACAACAAGTGTAAAATGGTCTGTGATAACAGCACTTACGTTCCAGGCACAGCTGCCCGTACCTCCGCTAAGCACTATTGAATTTATACTACACATTTATGCGGACGCTGATTTTGTTTGCCCCCTGCCAGCCGACTCAATACAACCTTGCGCAGCCGGTGCATCTTCTGAATATGGGGCTTCTTCGCTGTCACAGTACTCCAACATTTCCGGCCAGTCTGCTAGCCTACCCTTGCGTGTCAGTTCTCCGCAGCATCGTCGCCAAGATCCGCAGAATATAAGTATTCGTTCAACCTTTTCCGGCGCTCAACATTCGCTGACAACTTTAAGCCTGCAGCCGGGCGGAGTGGGGTCGAACTTGCGCGCAGCACAGAACAGCCAACATGTAGAGGCGCAACTTCGTCTGAAGTACTCCGGCGGAGAGGCCTTGGTTGCAGGATACTGTCGTCAATGTGCCGTCTCTTTTAACTTAGAGCTGCTTCCTAGTACCCAGATAACTAGCTGGGATGTGCTCCCCGCTGAGATGTACATAAGTAAACGGATCTTTCAATAACATATGATGTATTAATTTTTAAACTCATTGCAGACCTTCACAGTTCTACTTAGTCTTGGACATATCTAACCTAACCGCTCAAGAAATGTCGCTCAATTATACTGACAACAAAAATATACTCATCGAGGCCAAAGAAAGTTGTCGTGTACCTATTCCAGTGGACCGATGCTCATTGGAGCAAATTTGTGTAGCACGTGCAGCGGAAGTAGCTGAGAATCTAGAACGCGGTACTATATTCATGTATTTCCTATTGTGTCTGTCTTTGAATAACCTTTTCTTTGAAACGCAGAGCTGTGTTTTCGCACGCAACTTCTTACCTTCAGCGAGGCAATTAGCAAGCTTTGCTCAACTCACATAGCTGAGCGGGTAAAAATTAATTGGCTACTAACGGGCACTGATATTAAAGGCATTGCTTCGCTACGTGGAATTGTTCTCTCTCATAGTATGGTAGATTTGACCACAATCTCCCCTCTTCAGTGGGGTAAGTAATGACTGTCTTTCTATCAACGTTTTATTTATTATTTGGTTTCTTTTTAAAGCTATAAGCTTTCAGGATACGCCAGTGCAGCCACACAGCGAAATAATATGCACCGTTGGGCAGCGAGCACTACTTAGCATCAATCTCACCAATCAATCTTTACAGCCACTCAAGAATTTGGTGTTAACTATCAAATTCTATCAAGACTACTTAAATGGCATAGAAAACTACAATCTAGAGACACGGGTGGCAATTTCTGGACCTAACCGGTACGGGCAACATATTCTCTCACTACAAAATTAAAAAATTAATATTTATATACTGCAGAATAACAATCCCTGTTTTGGATAAGTACGAGCAATCGCAGCACAATTGCTCTGTGATATTTTTTACGCCTGGTCGTTTCAAGACCAGCATTGAGTGCGCCACCAAACCACAGCAGAGTAGCAGTATTTTGAGCCGTTCCTGTCCAGAAGCTACCAATTTAAGTCAATTAGAAACATTGTCATCTCCAGCAGCCAATTTAAATACTCTGTCGGCTTGTAGCCTTGACGAGCAACAGGCGCATATATGGAAATTTATACCACCTATTGAGGTGACTGTTGTAGAGCCGTGATTGAGTAAATTGTTAATGATTTCTAGTTTAATTTTGTTGTATCTGTAAATGTATTTGTTTCTGTATTACGTATACTAGTACTGTATATGTGTAATGCCTCCTGTAGTTCTATGCGATATATGATAGCGCTGTTAATCTGTGTAAACACAAATATCTTACCATTGTTGTAAAATGAAAAGCAATTGTTTTCAAATTAATAAGCATTACATGTATATATAACGAAAAATATATATATATATATTTAAGCTCAAACTACGCACTATGCTTCACAGCTGAAAATGCCATAATATATGTAAATACTATGCTCTATATATCTATATGTATACAGCTTCAAACCTGAAAGTGAAATATTGATAGGTAGATGTTTCGCTTATTAAACCCTCAAGTTGAGCGCGTCAACCACAACAAATTTGATAACATGTATGTATTTACAATATTTTTATACAATAAATAAATGCAGAGTTTTGACGGCAATTTTTTTAAAATAGTACATACATACGTAACATCAAGGTGAAATGCAATATACTGTACATTCGCAGAGTTTCCAGCGGCACCTTTAGCCCAATCGACGAATATCATCCATCGTGTAACCATTGCGATGCATTAAAATACACAAAAGGATGTAGAGGTAGTACCCGCCGGGAATAATCGTCAACGCGCCAATTATTGTAACTGCCCAGATGCGATCTGATCGGTCCTGACCTACGTCCGCAATCCAATCTAATGTCGCACAACAAATGCAAATCTAAATACAGATTGAAAAGACGAATGACCCCGATTTGTACTGACACTCAGCATACATATTATATACATACAGTTCCCCCGATAAACAATGTGAGTATGATGGCAATTGTCTTCCACGGTGTCGACTCATCCATATTCGGCGGTAGCCATTGCTCGTTTACAAAGCCATCCGTCTCGGAGGCACCTTCAGCAACCTTGCTGCTGTCACCAGTCGACGCCCCAGTGGCATTCAGGCGGCGTCGTGAGTCCGATTTGGTTGGCAACATATTTGGAAACTTGCTCCGATTCATTAGGTCAATCGTACAATCGTTGTGGGGGACGCGGCGCTCGATTTATAACAGTTGTTAGTATTGCTTGTTACCATTTCAACTGTGAATTCTGATCAAAGTTAATGTTGAAAACAGCTGTGCAAGAGTTGCACTTGTACAGCTGACAGCCATATGATTTTCGTTTTTTAATTAATGGGGCAAAAGTGATCCATTGATGTGCTGAATTTACCGAAATTTTGACTGTTGTTTAACTTCAAAACTTTTCTGCTTTTAGGATCGCGTTGGGTTCTTACAAACGAATTTTTTAAAATTATTAGACGTTCTTTTATTTTCTGGTATTTAAACGCTGAATTTTAAAACAAAACTGTAAACTTATATTTTTGGTATTTTTTTTTGTTTAGTCTGAATTTGAAAACTAACTATAAGCCGGCACGGGGAATTTTTGAAAAAAAGCCTGAAATTTTTATTTATTAACTGTGACACTTTCATTAGGTTTTGGTTAATACAACGTATGTAAAAATTCGTAGTTTTATACAATTTGTTTCGATAGTTCGAGATAGGGGTGGAATAAGTTGCGGTATTCGGATAGTGGCCTATATTTGACATCTGTAGCTTTCTTTCGGGATTTATCGTGCCTTTATTTGTGCTGCTTTTGGGCATATGCCTAGATCCACCACAAACCTTGCATGAAAATGAATTGCGAGTCACCAGGACCACGAAAAAGCATGGTTCAACCCCAGCCCTAGTCAAAAATACCAATCAATATTTATATTTTCAGTATTTTACTCAAAGAAAACACTATTATTTGCCAAAAATGCATCTAATAACATATATCATTTAAATATAGTGCACATCTTAATAATCAAACAATACTCCCAGAACATATCTATATCTATATGTTCCTTAAACATGTTCATTTTTTTCTCTGAGGTCAATTGGACAGACTTTTAGGTGTTCCACTGGATGTGTGCTCCTAACAAATAAAGAAAAAAAGTATTAGGCATTGCAATAACTTAGTTAATTATAATATTTGCTTATTGCTCGGTCAGTTATAGAAAAAAAGTGATAAATCAATCATAGACATCAGATGTCCCTATCAAAGTTATCATCATTCTCATGGGTTATGAATTATGTGTCGGAATGGTAACATATTCTTACATAGAGTTCAAGTCCATTCCAGGCACAACACGGTATTAGTAGACCGACAAGTAGATTCCTAAAAGAAATAAAATAATTTGTTAAGCATTGCAAAAACCAAGTACATCATAATATCTGCTTTGTTTTGTATCAGTTTTATAAAAAGCGATAAATCAATCATAGACATCAGATGTCCCTATCAAAGTTATCATCATTCTAATTGGTTATGTATTATGTGTGGGATCGGTAGCATATTCTTACATTGAGTTCAGATCCATTATGATTCTGGGAGTTGCTTCACTCTATTAGAAACAGCATATTTTCCAGACGCAACACGGTATTAGAAGCCCTACAAGTAAATGCTGAATTCCTAAAGAAATAAAATAATTTGTTCAATATTGCAAAAACCAAGTAAATCATATCTTCTCTGTTTTGTATCAGTTTTATAAAAAGTGATAAATCAATCATAGACATCAGATGTCCCTATCAAAAGTATCATCATTCTAATCGCGTTTAGACGTATCTGTCTTAATAATAAATATTCTTACACTGGGGTTCAGGTCTATTTGGCATCTTGGAGTTGTTTCTTTTTATCCGAGTGCAGCATCCTTCAGGTAGAAAAGAATAACCCGGTCCTACTTGGCCAACACGTAGGTACTCCATTGGACGTAATCTCCTAAAGAATAAACACAGAAAATGTTAAGAAAGGCAATAACTGAGTAAATTATAATATAAACATTGTGCTGAATCAGTTTTATAAAAAGTGATAAATCAATCATAGACATCAGATGTCCCTATCAAAGTTTTCATCATTATACTGGGGAAAAAGTCATATAAATGTGCACAAATGAGCGAAACTTACAAACTTGCCAGATGTGCAAAGTCTTAGCTTTTTAATTGCTTCATTAAAATGGAAGACATCACCTGAAAAAAATATTAAAGTGATAAGTAATGTGTATCAGGTACGTAAGGTATTGATGAATGTTGCATATAATAAAATGACAGCAATTTATCTTTCATGCTAGTTCTAATATATTTGTACTTACAATTCCCATGTGTCTTGTTGCAATGTAATTGCTACAGCCAATTATTGAAGGTTATAAAAGATATCCTTTTTACCCATTTTCAATAGGTTCAGGGTATAATAAAAAACTTTTATGAACATTTCTTTGCTGTTTCCAACCACGCTATGAGCCACATCCACGTGGTGTCGTTTTCACTTCTAAAATTGGTAAATTTTAGTGAGTTTTAAAAAAATACTTATCAAACGGGCGTGTTTCAGTAGTATTTCGGTCATTTTTAGTTTAAAAATTGGCATTTAATAAACAGCACTTTAGTTTTGTTGCTATCGACTAACATTTTATGTTTTATTATATAAATAGAAATTGCTCATTGGACACTGCAGTTGATATAACTTTTTTTTAAAAAATCCGCAGCTAATGTTCTTAACTGGCCAACAATTTGAATTGCTTTCAGATACATATTTGTGAACATATTCGTGTATGCCCAACATCTCATCAGATTAACTGTGAATATCTAACAAAACATACATACATTATCTTATTACTACTTTCCGCAAAAACTATTTTTATCGCTGTTCTGCATCATGATTCTCCTCTGCATGCGACGCTGTCAGTTCGTGCTCCTGCTCCTGTTCCTGCTGTTGCAGTTGCAATTTCAAACGCTTCTTGGCCTGTATGTCGGCCAGAGTCTGCTCAATGGACCGCATGTCCTTTTTATTCTTACTGGGCACAAAGCCGTAGCTTATATTTGTTTCTGTTTTGCGGGCCGCTTGCAGGGCCGCCGATTCGCCGATAAGGTGGGCATATTTTGTTTTATAATTGGTAGTTGGTTTCACTTCAGCGCTTGCGTCCGTGCTGGAGCTGTGAGCTGCGCTGGAGCCCGCTTCAGACGTGGATTGCTTATCGATCAGACTTTGCTCATGAGCTAGGCGCTCTTTCCGCCGCTCACAGTATTCTTTGGCTATGTCCTTGCTCCAGCCTTCGCCGTTACGACGGGCTGTTACCTCGTCCTCGCTGGGCGGGTGTTCTTTCTTGTAGACTACCGAGTGCCGGTCCTCGTCCTCGCGGCCAAAGCTCATTGCTATGAAACCACCATTTTCCGCTATTTCGTGTATAACTGAACGATGCACCTTGTCCAACGGCTGGAACTCAATGTATGTGCGATCATCCTTAGCAAATCGTCCCATCCTCTCCTCGACGTACTTTCGAAATCGCAACAGCTCCTCCTTTTGCTTGTTTTGCATCCGCTCCACCATTTCCCGCTGTTTTTTGATCAGCGTCTTTTGCTGTTCATTTGTGGTTGGCGGAGCATCCATTGAGTTAAGTATTGAGTCAAGCAGATCCATTTTGACGTTGCCGATATCCGTTGATTGTGCATTAACGCAGATGCCAATTATTGCTTATCGTATTTAACACACAAGGCTAGGCACAAGGCTATTACTAGTTGCTAATTTATTAAACTAATGACAACATTTGGATTATTTATATATTTCCTTTATGTATTGTATAAAATAAGATTACCGGTGCTTCTGCACCAGAATACTAAAATACTCAATTCTGAATACTGAATACCATTTGGTATTTTTGCCGGCCTGCAATCTAGAATACTGAATACCATTTGGTATTATTTGGAACCTGCAAGCTAGTTGGCAGCCCATAAAAACAGGCGGGTGGTGTTTCTTTTCTGTTTTCAAAAATAAAGCTTGGTACTAATAAAAATAGCTACGGAAAGGATTCAGATGACTACAAAACGTCGTACACTTGTCCACTGGTTCCGCAAGGGACTTCGTGTTCACGACAACCCTGCGCTGTACCAGATATTTAATGTAGCTCGAGAGTCGCCTGAAAAGTTCTGCGTTCGACCCATATTCATATTAGATCCTGGTATCTTGGATTGGATGCAAGTGGGCGCCAACCGTTGGCGTTTTCTTCAACAATCCCTCGCCGACTTGGATAAAAAGCTCAAGGAACTTAATTCGCGCCTATATATTGTTCGCGGCAAGCCCGTTGATATTTTTCCTGAGCTGTTCGAGCGTTGGAACGTCCAGCTACTGACATATGAATCAGATATTGAACCGTACGCCCTGCAGCGTGATACGACGGTACAAAAGATAGCTTCGGAGCATGGAGTGAAAGTGGATACCCATTGCTCGCACACTATTTATAATCCAGAGCTGGTTATAGCCAAAAATTTTGGTAAAGCGCCTGTTACCTACCAGAAGTTCTTGGGAATTGTCGACAAGCTGAAGTTGCCCAAAGTGCTGGGTGTTCCGGAGGGCCTGCCGGATGGAATGAAACCAATAGCAGATGAATTTGAAGCGATCGATTCAAGCGTCTATGACTGTCCAACGTTAGATCAGTTAGTCAAGCGGCCCCAGGAACTCGGCATCAACAAATTTCCGGGCGGTAAGTCAAAAATAAGATAACTTCAAGAGCAATGTGTACACAAAACTCTTCACTGATAGGTGAAACAGAGGCACTGCGTCGCATGGAAGCATCGCTCATTGACGAGAATTGGGTGGCAGCTTTTGAGAAGCCGAACACGGCACCAAACTCGCTTGAGCCAAGCACTACGGTGCTCAGTCCATATTTAAAATTCGGCTGCCTAAGTGCGCGGCTATTGCACAATCGGCTTAAAGAGATTCTCGTACGGAAGCCAAAGCATTCCAAGCCGCCCGTTTCACTTGTCGGTCAGCTGTTGTGGCGCGAATTTTATTATACGGTAGCCGCAGCTGATCCCAATTTCGACCGTATGCTGGGCAATGCTTACTGCCTGCAAATACCCTGGCAAAAGCAACCTGATCATCTGGAGGCCTGGACGCACGGACGTACTGGGTATCCCTTTATCGATGCCATCATGCGCCAGCTTCGGCAAGAGGGCTGGATACATCACTTGGCGCGTCATGCGGTTGCTTGTTTTTTGACGCGTGGCGATTTGTGGATCAGCTGGGAGGATGGGCAGCGGGTCTTTGAGCAGCTGCTTCTTGACCAGGACTGGGCATTAAATGCAGGAAACTGGATGTGGCTCTCAGCTTCCGCATTCTTTCACCAATATTTTCGTGTTTACAGTCCTGTAGCGTTTGGAAAGAAAACTGATCCCACTGGCGCCTATATAAGGAAATACGTCCCGGAACTGGCTAAATATCCAGCGGGATGTATCTACGAGCCATGGAAAGCAACACTTAGCGCACAGCGTGATTACGGATGTGTGCTTGGCGTTGATTATCCACATCGAATTGTCAATCACGATATCGTCCACAAGGAAAACATAAAACGCATGAGCGCCGCCTACAAGGTGAATCGTGAAGTGCGCACCGGCAAACAGGAGGATCAAAATGATCACGAGCCGTCGACGTCGCAATCCACTGGGAAGCGCAAAGCAAGTTCGGGAGCAAATAAATCGGCTGCAAAGCGCAGACGTTGACTATCATCGATATGATAACGATCACTAGCTAGCAAAGTCTACATATCCTTGATATTATATAGCAGATGTTAGGTGTACTTCAAATGGGTGTACTCTTAAATCAGATATGTGATCATGTGATATGATAAGGTTTCATAATGGTTTATAAACAAGACCTCAATTTACGAGTGATCGTTCGTATGGCAGCTATATGATATAGTGGCTCGATCCGATATACATACTGACAGAATAGTTTGAAAAGAAATAGTTAGGTGGTACTGATCAAAAATGTGTCTAGTATATGGGGTCGCAGATGTCTTATTTCGTGACAAAGAATACCCCCTTCAAGAGGATAACCGCGATAATTGAAAACCAGATCGCAATAGTTTCATAATCAATAGTATCAAGTAATCTTTATCATAATCTATTCGTAGATTTCAAAACCCTTCACAAGTTTCTCTTTACCACAGCTGAACTTTGATCGAATGGAGTGTACTATATTGTTAAATTTAAGGAAACGGAGACATCTTTTAAGAAAAGATTATAAATATGTAAGTATGTCTTTTATCTAGCTATATTCTTGAAAGGATAGTTAGTCTATAGCGCTGTTGTATATTTTTTTCATTAAATGTAACCTTCACATTTTTCATGGATATACATAACTATTTCATGTTTTTAAACTCAAAGTAGCCGGTGAAATTTACACCATTTTCTCTTGTTGGATGCTGGTTCTAAAGCATATTCTCACTTCAGTCATTACTTTCGGCATAACATGAGCTCGGGATCCTATTTCGAAGTAAAATTGTAATCTCATAATTTCTTGTTATTCAGTGGAAAAGACTTTATAAAAGAATATATTGAAAATGTTTCGGAATCTATGCATGTTGCGCAAAAATATCCTCCTGTCCAGAATTGTTTATTCAAGCTACACATTAAGGGCCAATGGAGTCATCAGCTCGAAGCTTCCATCTAAGACGATGACAACCGAGTCCCGGAGTAATGGCATTTCAGTTACCGACATTGATATATGCGATCTGGCAAAAGGTGACGTGGAGTTTACACGTAATTTTCTCACCACCTTTTCCACCATATCGCCCGTAAACATTGCGTTAAACCCGGAACCGGCGGTTCAAACAGATGCGATCTCTGAACCACCAAGTTCTGATTCCAGTGGCTGTGGCATTGGGGGACCTACCTCTAGCATCCTAGACAAGGATGGGATGCCGATTGTGCCCATAGAGATCGATGGTTGGAATCACCCTGGGGATGATGATGACGAGGGTCCAACCGTGCAGAATAGTTCACAGCATATTGAAATTGGAAATGACAATGAATACAAAGCGGAGAACTTACTTGTGGTGCCCGAGAAGCGAGAGGGGCAATTTGAATACAAGGGCATTAAAGTAAAGCTACCGGAATCGGCTAACAAGGATATTGGCACCTATCGTTTCCGACGGGACCGGGAGGACTTGGAAACGGTTGCAGATGATATGCGTGTGGTCAAATTTGACAAGAAATAATCATGTCCACCCTCTTCCCATACTGTCTGTGTACTTTGCGAGTTGCATTATAGTTGATCATGTTCTACCAAAATAAAAACAAATTTACTTTGAAGCAAAATGTATTTCGGATATTAAATCAAAGCTGGTTACAGGATATTTTCTTGTCAGGCATTCTCGACTGGATCACAGATGCTCGATTTCATTCCTGACAGGGAGTCCTCCTGGCGCACGCGTAGTCGGGGAATGTTTCAAATCATCGATACCTTTCCCCGTTTCAATAAACTCGATAAACTCGATCTATCTTGTTTTTAAGTATATTTCGTAGCTTAAAAGATATATGTACATATATTACACCATATTATCGAGAATATTTACTTTGGTGTTTTAAATTGTTAAGGCATAAATATGGCATCGAAATTTAAGCAAATAGCAAAGCCTAAGAAAATACCGTTAAAGTGAGTTTTTCAATTTAAAGTTGAATGAACTCCAAAAAGTTAAATATTCTTGCAGCACGAAACTAACAAAATGATGTTCTAGTACAATATTCCTTATAGCTTTTAATTTTGCAGCCTATTTAATTGATGGGAATTTAGAACCCCAGTAAATCTTAGACTGAGTTTACATAAAAGTTACGCTAAAGAAAAGTTAAGCTCCCCAAATCGAGGCAGTCATTGCAAACATAGAGCTCATTGTGAACTTTAACCAAAAAAAAAAACAACAACGAATTTGTAAACAAAAAACAAAGATGAGCCAATTTCGTTTATTTCTATGACAATTTGTATTTTGGAACAAACACAAGTTGTTGCCAACTAATTTGCTTAATTAAGCAATTTCAATTCAATAAGAAAGTGAATCCAAAGATACTTCTGAATCGAAATCCTTCTGGCTTTGGCTGAAGCCTTTTTTGTGCTCTGCAAATGCACAAACTAAAAGTGGTCGAACTGCGCCAACTGGGGGCTAAGTTTGTTAAATGGGGATAACTTGGAATTTCGCAGATGAATTGTATTAATTCGTAAATCATCTTAAATCAACTGAAAATCAAACCACTTCATTGCTATCCGAGGCGAAAATCGAAGTAAGAATATCAACCAAAAGTTTATTTAAACTATCAAATTAGCGACCTAAGTTAATTAAATATTTCTTCAAAATTAGAATGCTCTTTACTATAAGAAAAATCATAAATATTACAATAAATATAAAATAAAAATCATAAAAATTAAATAATACTATAAATGAAAGAAACATTAAGTATATCATTTTACTTCGGCTTTTCCAGAGAATTTATCGGCAATACTATTTCTTTTGTATCACATTTCCGCTATTGTGATGTCACAATAAAAAGAGAGCAGAATTCTTCTGTTCATTTGAAGTACATACATATGAAGGTGTAAAAGCGAATTGTTAACATTTAAAAAGATATCCTGATTCAAGCGCCTTACGATTGAGATGACCATAAGTTCATAACTTACATAGTTAAGTTACCATAAGTTATAAGATTAAGTTTTCTTATAAAAAATGTAATTCTATTTTTTTGGGGGGTTAAAGTTGGTATTTAGATAATTTTATATTTATGTGATATTCTTCTTACGTGATATAATTGTAAAGGCTTCAGGCTAGGAATCAAAAAAATTAAATGTTGCTAATATATGTATACTCCATGCGAATTTACATCGAAAATGTTGCGACTCTTACTTCCTTTAAAAAATATATTATATAATTTAATACTTGTTGACAATCCAAAATTCTGGTTTCTAGTTCATTTAATTCTCGGTGTCGCCGCGTTCATATAGTCAAACATGACTCGTTGTTTTCATCAAGAAAATATGAAAATACGTTTTTGGATTGGAGATGCTTCCTGCTGCCTGCTGCAGCCTGGAAAGGAATTAGCCCCATTAAACGTGATTGATTATTTGAGTACAGGAACAGTTTTTCGACAGGATATGTCCTCTCTCTCTCTGCTGCCCGTTCATTAAGAGTTTTCAATCAATACAATAATTGGATATCCTTTGACTCTTCCGTTGACAATTTCTATCAACAAGCCAAGACATGCTGCTGGAATAAACATCCTTTCGAGTATCTCAAGTCTACTTAGCTGAATTGATGACAACGCATTAGGTCAGGCGGCAAATTAAGCCAACATAATGCGTATGAAATGGCATTCGAATCAACAAAAAAGATACGATTCCCTATTAAGCCCAGCATCGAGGCGGTGGATCGGGAGCCGTGTCTAAACCGGCCATAAGAATTATGCATGCGTACCCGTGCCTTGTATATGCTGGCAGTCTGCCGGCTGGCGGCCTGATTCGGAAAACCATAAATTGTTGTAATGCGAGGGATGGCAATTTGGCAATTTTATAGCTAGTTTTGGCTATGTTCACAGGCAGTTGGAAACAGCTGAAATTGGCAGTTGCCAAAGGGATTGAAGGATATTCTGAAAACTATTCTGGTTTAATCTGTCAAATTATATCAAAAGAAAATAAGTGAAAGCTTCTGGATAATTGGTTGTATACACCAGACATCAAGTACTGTATTGAAATAAGTTATTATTGAACCCACAAAAGAACTTCTCTATAAGCGCAAAATTGTCAAAAGTTCACTTGGCTACAAAAAATCACAGGGCAAATGTTGCCTTTTCCAAGAAAACACCTTAGCTTTGAAATTAAGATGCTTCCCTTTGCCTTTTGTGCCAACATTTTACACTTTTGGCCAATTTGTGCTCAGTTAGCTAATTTAGCCATTTTCAGCTATGTTTGACATGAGATTCAGCTACTTTTTATTAAAGCCACAGTCAACAACACGGCACACTAAAGAAACGACACGTACAGCTCGCAGGCTTCAGCTTGCGAGAGAGAGAGAGAGAGAGAGTAAAGGAGGGGGAGAGAGTCGAAGAAATTATGTTGCAAATAAATACATGTATTAAATATTCGTTCGTGCCCAAAAATAAGTAAATGCATGCACTTTTCTACCATAATTGGCAATTTGCGTTTGTCGCTCGTGTCATGTTAGTTTCCCACTAGTCATTTTCGTATCTAGTTCCCCTTGCCTTACCTCTAATAAGACTCTTTTGTGACATCTTAGATTCATGGCTTGTACGGGTTTTGGCCTGTGACCGGTAATTACGACGACAGGCTTATTAGCAGATGCAAGTGTCATACGTAAGTATCTTCGAGGGCAGCCACTATGGCAGTACTACATATATAAAAGCCAAAGTTGATAGAGGACTTGACTGGGACACCACCTGAACCCAGCAGCAAGCTGTTGTCATTCTATCTTACTTTAGTACACAAAATCTCAAACATACATGCGGATGTGCTTCTTGTTTCCGCTACATTGGACTATGGAAAATGCAAGACTGAATGACTCAAATGCTTTTGGTCTGTGTCCTATATAATTTTCAAAGCTCAATTACGGCATTCCCAGGTGTGTATATGCAAATGCGCAACAATTTACTTTTAATTATTTATTTTTGGTTTACCTTTATTTATTTATTTTTATTTATTTTTTATTTATTTTTTGGTTTTTGCATCTTGCTGGAAAACGAGGAAGGAATCTAAAATAGGAAAAAACAGTTCAAGAGTGGTTGGTTAACGACGGAAGATTAGGAAGAAGAGGCCTCCTGGAGTACGATACATACTGAGTTTAACATATTGAGTTTAAGCCTAGTAAGTCAAAAAGTAAAAATTGCTTTCGATCCTGGCTATTTTCATACTGCGGAGAGCACACACACCTGAGCAGGGGATTAAAGGGATATAACCTTTAAGCGTGATGTACAGAAGTGTCTTTATGGAGGGGTCGTTTAATAAATGAATTCAAGTACACCTTTGACCTCATTAACCATGGCTGAAATATTAACTGATAGGATACGTTGAAATTGATTGTGGTAGATTAAATAATTCACAAGATAGGACCTAGTACGATTGAAGGACATATATGTTACATATGTTACGTGCTATAAAATTAACACTTAAAACTTTTTGGTTTGCCATTTAGCTCATTAGTAAACTAAGCTCATAACGGATATGAGATGCTAAAGATTTCCGCTTACAAATATTTTGTTTTGTGTGCTGACTCGGAAACAGGAGTAGCCACATTCGCCTCCAGGTCGCCGCCGCTTCCGTTTCCGGCGACAGTTGGAAAACTAGCAGATGGTGCGGCATTTATTCTTTAAAACCGTTTACTTGGCTAGCGCCAACACATTCATAAATTCACACAGGACCCACCTCTTTAGCTACCCAGCTCCCCTTCCCTTCCCTTGATAAACAGGTCGTATGCGTGTGAGGCCAGGTAAATTTGCAGGGCCAGGTATATTTGCATGCAGGGCTTTTGTTTTTGGCGCCTGGCAGCGAGCTCAGTGGGTAAATGGGAACAACATTCGCCGTTTTATAAATGCAAGTGCAAATTGTTAGGCGCGTTGGCGACCACAACAAATGTGGCCGCAAAGTAATCAGAAAACAAAGAAGAGCGTCGGGGCGTGCCCGACTAGGATATACCCCGCCGTTACAAATATTCAATAGCATGCAAGCACAAAAACACAAATACACTCGCAAAGCTCGAGCTTTAAATGTTAGTTTATAATTTCAATTTTCGAGGGAACGAAATATTATGTATCCTATACAATAAAATTTGATTAAAACACGTTTCAAAATGAATATTAGACGATATAATTAATATGAGAAACGAGCTACCGATGTTTTTTGTTTCTACCAAATTCTATTCAGATTTTCATATTCATATTCAGCAGCAGATGACCATCTATATCTAAAAATCTATCTCCACCTACTTAGTAGAAAAGGGATAAAAATGAAAAACAATAATACAAATTATATTTGGCACGCCGAAGTTAAAATACCCTCATGGCTTACGGACTTGCAGATATTTGAGGAGAACTGAGAGGCGCTGAGTTTGGTGAAGATATATTGAAGAACAACAAATCCGAATTTTCAACCCATTTTTTATATAGAGCTTTATGACACAGCATTCCGATGTTAAAAGGACTGTGCTCATATGTAGGATTTAGCGGGCCACCTTTAGGCCCGTTGTGATACCCTAGATTTTTTTTTTTAAACAACCTAAGGGGAGATGCTAGCATTAAAAGAGGTCACATTTTAACGCCTGGACGAATTTAGCTTAAATTGTTAATGTGAGAAATATATATATTCTGTCTCTCCTATCTCCTATTTTATATTCTAAACTATTTAGCAGAAGTTTGATGTCAAGCTGCAAAATGTTATATCTGAGATTTGAGGAACTGCGAAATTTACGTTGCCTGCTTTCAAAGTATTCTCACCAAGGTTTAGATGGCTTTTGAATATAATTCCAGTGCTGTGCACTGGTTTGTATAATAAAAGCAGCGTAACACAACACTGCTTGTCAAAGCTATTTGATTTGATCTGATGTCAAATAAAATGACAAAGCATGTTTCAGTCGCAAAATGGCTACGCTGGAATTAGGTAACAAATCTAAGAAAAAGGATGACAAACTGTGAGTAGAGCTGCTTAAATTAAATATTTAATATATAGATCTATAAATCAATATATATATTTGTTCCGCTTTATAGCAACAAGTTTATCTGTCCCATCACGTATACCAGTCAGTTGCCCGACCCAACTGTGGGCTGCAAATTTCTGCCGTGTGGAAAAACTTTGCTAGACTTTACCACAGAGCCGGTATCCTTTCCGCAGCTCGAAACGCAGTTTAGCTATCAGTTTAAGGGGCTGCAGTTGCTCTTTGATATCGATCTGGTCAACCCAGGTATTTACGCGCACAGCAACGGGGAGGCAATCGAAATGGATCCCAAGGATGCCGGCCTACTCGCGGACATTGAGGCGCTGCACATTAACAATCAAAAGCCAAAGGCGCTGCATAGCTTTCCGACCCGCGCCCAGGAGTGCCGCGAGCTATTTGCCAAAGAGCGAACCGCTGTGCCTCGGCCACGCGCAGGTCTTCAACGGCTGCAGCCGGAGCCAGAGCATCTGGAGCTCGAGTCCTTCAGCCTTGAGCAGCAGAAGCAGATCGTTCAACAAACATTCGTTGATATTGAGAAGCCTCTGGGATGCCATCCCACAAAGTCGGCAAGCACCGCACGACCCGTCGCCCAGCTGCCCATTTTTCCTGAGGCCAACTACTCGCAATATGAGCACGAACTCGTCCAGGTTCAGTTTGGTATTCCGCCCAGCGGCAATAGCAACGGGCTGCTCAAGGACTGCGGAAACTATTTGGTCAACTTTAAGGTAAAACCCGAGCCGCTATTCAAGCAGATTCAGCACACCTCTGGCCAAAGCCTAGTCACTTACCTCGCCGAGGAGCGCTACAAGGAGGAGCGCACCGCGGACAGCGCCGACCGTGGGGAACGCTTTATGCTGCGGGAGAAGGATGGCAGCATCTATTACCAGGCAGTCAGCAAGCACATCAAGTTGCGCAAGGAGCGACCGAGTCCACAAGCTACGGCCAACGTCTGTCTGCTGGTAAGCCAAAAGAATGTATATTCCCTATTTCGTATAATTATGTCTACTTTCCAGCAGATCAAGCGCACTAAGGATAATCCTCAACAGCTAAGCTCCGGAATCAAGAAGTAGTTTGAGAAATCAATCAATACATTTTTGATCTGTAGAATTGCAAAAACTTTCTTCGCAAATTGCAATCTTTTTTGGAAAGGAACGTCTATCATTGTATATGCTTCTTAATTAATTCCAATTTAGCATCCGACTATTTAATCGTATAGCTCTTATGGGCAGAATCCTTCAAATATGTTCGGAAGGGTGTTTATTTTTTGCTTTTCGAAGATAGCCGTTCTTCCTACTTAATAGTTAAGATATCGATCCTATAGGAGCTATACGATATGGTGCTTCTACCCGCCCTATTTTTTACTGCCTGAAACAGAAAGACGGAATTTAATGAATAAGATTATATAGCATACTTTATGGGGTCGGAGATGTTTCCTGTGCTTTACACATTTCATGACAAAATTGGAATGCCCTTCACGTGGTTATAAAACCACAACTCTATAAAATTTATATTTATTAGTCTTAATACCAAAGCTAAGGACTAAATTTTCCGATATATTTCGAATTCTATTCAATATTTTCGAGATTTTTAGACTGCTTTACGTCTGTCTGCTTCGGTGTAAAAAATTAAGGATAAAACTGCGCAGTAAATTAAAAATATAGAAAGTCGAAAGTTACAACAAAACTCGATTAAATTTAATTTAATAAGTACCAAGTTGTACCAAAGACAATATAAATGCTTTTTACATATATTATTGTCCTTGAACCTGTTAAGCTGAGGAATTTTTCCCCTTTATGAGTAACAGTCAGAATAAAGGGGGCAATTAACAGAGGAACTGCCAAATAACTTTAGTACAAATGGCATAACAGTTGTCAAACACAGCAGCAAAATTCCTTAGCAGCACTTGTAAGGTTGTGATCTTAGCTAAACCATACTGGTAATAACAGCTGCTGTGAACAACATTAGCAACAACAATGGATTTACATAGTGTTATGGCAGTGATGGCAGCGTTGACCACATCAACATCAACCGAGATAACTGTTGAAATAACATGCATAATAACTTGGATAAATGTAACGCTACATGCCAAATATTAACAGAAATACTAAGAAGGACAAGAACAAACAACTGCAGCAGAGGCCTCACTAACAGTTTCTGCTTAAAAAAAGTCACTGCAGCCACATATACTACAGATGTACCAAAACATGGTAACATAATATTTTGGTTTTCATACTACTTGGTTTATATACACTAAAAGCTTTTAACGGATCTCTTTCTTCATCTTACCTCATTTAATCGGTCAACCTTAATAGTTCTAAATTCTGTCCTACTGTTTTTTAGGGACTGCGCGACTGGAAGATACCCTGAACCTTCTGCTATGTAAAGCTTATTGTTTATTATTATTTATTTATTTATTATGAAATTCTCTACAGTATACCTTGATGTGCAATAGAATATTTGTATATTTGCAGCCTTACAACCCAATATCTTCAACAGCTTGGCTCAACTCTGCAAAAAACTGTTAAGTAACATACGGAGAAACTAACGGTCATGCCAAAATAAACATTTCCCTAGCATGTACAACTTGTGCGTTCACAGTGTCAACCCCTAATTTGCAACCCCTGCGCATTTTTCGGAGTGACGGCGAATTCAGAACGTTCTGCAAAAGCTCCCTTTGCTTGTTGCCGGCATCGGCTGCCGCTTGGCATAGAAATGCCCAGTTGCCGTTTCAATTGGCGGTGGGCGCCCTCGCAGGCAAGTGTACACTAGTACTAGTACCCTAATGGAATCCCGGCACTCCGGAAGTGCTCCACGTGTCCAACGGCTTATAGTGTGACAAGTATGTGGCGTCGCGAGTGTCTGAAAACACAAGTATTTGGCGCTGGCATTGAAAATAAAACAAAAGCAAGTAAAGTTACAAATAGCAATCCGAGCTGCAGCAAAGTGTTAATTCCCAACTAGCATAGTTTAAGGAAGTTTCTGAACTCATACTCCAGGCACAATTCCAAAGTAAGATACTTAAATCAAGGCTTCAATCCGGCTTTGAACCGGCTCTCAAATTGAACCAAACCAGATCTTCAAGACACAGATCAACTTGAGCCCGGATTTGGAGATTTGAAATTATGAATGTTGATCCTTCTAGTGGCTGAGCGGTACGAGTTTGTTTTTTAAATGATTAAGAAGTTTCCCCGTTTCCAAGCAATCTAATAAAATCAATATCGATATCCAATTTTTGAGCATAGCTTCTAGGTTTCAAGAGCTAAAGAAGATGGTGTTTTTCATATTATCCTCCTTTTTTTTTTGTCTAACATTAGCCAATTGGCATACCATAACTTTTTATTATAAATAAATTAAGATTAAGAGATTGAGGAAATTTTGTTGTCAAATAAGATCAGCTTTCGGATAAACCCCGACTATATTCTCTCCCTGGCGATGATCATTAAAAAATGGGAACAATTTACGAGGCTGTGCGTTCAAATCGAAACATTTGTTTGTGGATGTGGAAATCTAGCGACAACCGTTGACTCAAGACTGGGAATCGAGATAAGGGAAATATTTATGGCCTAAACCCATTGGAAATGGGTTAATATGGACAGAAGGAGTCAAATCCGATCCTACTAAATGTATATAATCAACGACAGGGTCTAGCTTTATGTAAGAATGCGTCGATTAGAGAGATCATTCTATATCGATTCAGCTCGTTGAGCTAATCACGAATTTATATATATTTATATATAAAGAGTCGAAATAAGCTTCTTCTTCCTGCTGATTACATATTTTAATGGGTATAAAAATTGTATGCATGATATTTGATTCGGACCTGTCGAAATTTGATAATATAGTTAAAATTTTTACACGTGTTGATGCTCACATAACATTTGGTATTAGTGCTGCTTTAATGTTTAAGTATGTGGAACATGAATCGAATTGCAAATTGAGTTAAAAAGAGTTGAGAATGGGATTCTCAATGCAGTAAGTGAAAGACCCTTCAGAGATGCACATTCGACTAGTTCTTGTACTCACGCATTTTCAGTTAATTTTAATAGGCATATATGCCAATCCGTTTAAAGTGACTCTCTATGGGACTAAGACCCCCCATTACGTGATGCGCGGATCAATGGACGTGCCAGTCAAGCCCGTGGACTATTGTCAAAAAGGACTCTGCCCGAAAGGAGAACGTCACATTTGCTGTAAAAACGAGTTTGTAAGTTGTCTGTCGACTGGCCACAGTTGAGCCCGATCCGAATATACAAATTGCAATTACCATATTCCATGTAAGTGGGGTGACAACTGTCCGAAGCCACGCGACGGCGTCAACATGGAAAGGTACAGGACTAATATTTTGGACTATCATAATAATCTACGGAATCGCATGCACATGAAAATGAATCATCTGCCATCGGCCAAAACACTTCGGCTCCTCCGCTGGGACGAAGAACTCTCCGTTGTGGCAATGCGTGTTACAAATTTCTGCAACAATATCACGGGCAGCAATTGTGTGAACATTCCACGTTACTTGAACGTGGCTCAGAGCTCAGCCTCCAAGCAGTACGAGCATATAAACATACCGAAATTGCTCTATATGATATTAGTTAACCTTTGGTCAGAGAAGTATTATACATTTAACGCTTCCTATGTACACTCATTCCCGGAAAATGCTTCGGAAGATGATCAGCTATTTGCCAATATGATAAATCAGAGGGTCGATAGATTGGGTTGCGGCATGTTACTTCATGGCAGTGCAGGCACGTCCACATTCTATTTCACCTGTTTGTATAATGAAAAAATCAAGCCTGGACAACAATTGTATGAAATAGCGACATAAAATTTCTGCTTAAAATCTATTTCAAATTATCTAAATATTTAAATAAAACTTATTTCCGCATGCACGCTACTTGAGATCGGCTCGACCGATTTGCCGGAAAAGCTTCAACAGATCCCAGAAACCCCTCAACCACAGATTGCTTGTACATTCGCAACTCTGTTAATTAATCGCCTAGACCATGGGCAAGGACGTGGTCTGTATGAAAGAAAGTTTAGGGAAGATCCATTAGAAAATACGACGGAGAAATCTGTTTGTAATTTACCTAATTAAACGCAGCCTTGCATTATTTTGGCTGTAACAGAGCATAATTAAACTTTGGCTATGGGCAAAACAAGTTTGAGTCTTCCATTAGCCTTTTAATTCTTCTTCACCTTATTTTTGATCTGATCGCAGAAGTAAATGCTTAAGGGATTGTCCAACATCCAAACATCCCTTTTCAATTAGGAAAAATTAACCATTTGAAAGCGTTTGGAAATAAGTGAGTCTAAGACCCAAGACAAGAAAAATCTTAACCAAATATGTAAAGAAACGATACGGCAACTGTGAGAGAAGGATGTGCCCCAAACCTCCGAGGTTTTATTCAAGAAGAGCTTTCGCTGTAAGAGGAGGGTTTTGAAGCTGACGATAGCTCCATTGAAGAAATGAATATTTTTTTATTTTTTATTTTTATTTATTTATTACTGGTCGACAAAAACGAGTGTCTTCCTAATTATTCAATACATTGTACATGCATTATGAAAATTAAATATTAAAAACCTAGTTAGAATACACCAATTTTTCTAATAGCATAACCGACACGATTGAGGTGTTTTATTTCCCCGTCCGGCCAGCTATGCCCCTTTTCACAGCTAATTTTATCAGAGACGCTATTCGAGCCTACAACTAAGAAGAAGGGTGTAAGTAGAAAAAATAGTGTGCTTAAGTAAAATTAAAAATAATCTTAATTTACTATATTATTTAAGAAAATACAATAAGTAGGAAAAAAGAGAGAAAGTAGTTGTTAATAAAGTAAAGAAATGTATACTAGATATATAGAGTGTTAAGTGAATAGGATAAAGATATATATATGATGGGAAATACAGGGGAAAATTTATAGCTTATCCGGCAAGCTATGCCCTTTTGAACACTATGCGTTGAGTTCTTTTGCAGACTTCCGAGTCTCCGCCTTTCAGAGAAGTATCAAAGGCATTGGTGGGATCAATGATAAATCAATCCTGCGCGAAGGTTGCGTTCAGTCTTCCGATGAATATCTGAAGGATAAAGTGGCTCATTGGATAGTTGGCTTTGAAAAGCTAGGAATCACACAGTTTCGCGATTAGTGAGCCAAGTATATTTCTAATCAATGTACATATATCAATGTAATAAGTGTTGATTCGTTTGTCGCAGATGGGCGCCAAATTGAAGAGAAGCCGCCAGCTAAGCTTGCCGATAAGAAAAAGTTACGGCAATCTGCGATTCTTAGATCCAGCGTTCTTGTGGTATTTAAAGATATTTTAAAGTCGCCAAGAATTGGAGAACGGCAACAGAAATTTACGAAAAATCCACAATTTACGGCTGTATCAGTTCCGTAAGCTATTTTTGTGCCACATCTTGACTGCATAGTGTGTTCCCCAACTTGATTGATTGATGTGCAAAATAATGCAGCATTCGCTCTAGCTGCACTGCATCCAAATCGTAATAGAGGAACTTTCGACGACACAAAATTGCTGAGGCTATTGATTTTATTGCTTGAAGGTATCCAGTATAAGATGGAAATGTGGTACAATTCATGTTAGAAAAAAAATTAATGATTGATTTTGTTGGCTTTCACGGAGAGTGCGGACTTTATCCCAAATCCAAGCTGGCAATAGAAATTTTGCTTGCAATGCCAGGGGTTAGGACAAGGCTAAGAACTTAAATAAAATTTAAATGTAATCCATTTTAATGATAGCACCATAATAATTAGTCTATAATTTACTGAGTTATTTATACTAAGTGTATGCGAGTCAACGAGAAGTAGATATACATATGTATTTCGCTGAGAACATTTCCAATGAACAATAAAAAAGGGAATTTATTTCGGCTCCGCATCTCCGATTCTCTTGATGAAGAAATGTCCTTATGGCCTTTAAATATGATATTTTTTCATACCATATGTCAAAATCGATTAAATAAAAATGGGGCTCTATCTATTATTTTAAATAAACTTGATCTGAGTGGGCAATAAAAGAAAAACATATTAAAATTGAACAATTGATAAAAGTCTTTTATAAAGAAATAGTTTCTGTCCAACAGCAGCAGCAGTCGGCGCCGACGTAGACGTTAAATGCAGTACAAGCAACGCGGTCGATGCTGGCAGTGCAGAATGCAGATACATAGCGAAAGCAGCGTAAAATCGGCGCCGACGCGCCGTCAACGTCGCCAGCAGCAGTAATGACGCTGGTTTTTAGCATAATGCAACAACAACAACTGGCCATTTTGTAACGGTAAGTGCGCCCTTTATACTCTATTCTCTCTACCTCTCTCTCTCTCACTCTAAAACTGTTTGGCTTTTAGTCCACGGCTAATTTCCTTCATTTTTATTGGCGTAAAAAAATGTATTGCATACTTTTAGACGCTACAGCAAAATTGTATCTATGTTTACATACGCGTGCAATGCGGAAAAGTAAACAGAAAACAAAATGGTGGCGGGCGACACGAGCAAGAAGGCTTCTCTGACTCGATGAGATATATATATATATATAAAATTTCAATAAGTTTGAACAGCCTGTGCGATATAGTCGATGGTCGTTTGTCTGTCCGCGAATGAAGCTCTGTTTTAAATCTATCGTCATTAAACTTTGTATGGGTCCGTATTTTTATGTCAGACTCGGTCGTGTTCAAATTTTATTGATATAGATGATAATTATTATAAATTATAAATGATAATTATGATGATTTTGTGATTATACGAATACTCTATGGCGCAATAAGAGCTAATGCACAAAATTTAATCAGAAGTTAAACACATGCAATCATATGCGTGCGTTCCCTTTCGAATTCTATAAATATAATTGAATTGCTGTGCTTTTTTAATTAATTCCCGAAAAATGTACAAGTTAACACTTTGAACATATTAGATGGTTAATGAGCAGAGGAAATTTGTATGTTTAAACATTTTTTTATCGTTAAGCTTGAGCAAGCGAGGACGTCACGCGTGCAGCTTCTGGTTTTGGCAGAAGAAGGCTTAGGGTATCGCTTAGTCGGGAACGCTCGACTAGAGCACTTTTACTTATATATCTTGACCAAACCTTGCAAATACGAGCCATATATTTAAAAGGGTGTTTAATCTGTGGCGGGCCGAAGATAGCAGTTATTTATTGTATTTAAAAGCATATAAACCAGACTTTTGCTTTTTTATCAAGTTCCAAATTGTGGGTAGTTGTTTTAGATTGACTTTAGGGCCCTTTCATGAAGTCGGGTACTCAATTTCATCTGAGAAATGGGACAAGAGCTGCCGGGTAATGTTCAAGTACGTTGCAAGGGCTGCAGTTGACACCATCTTATAAAATAATTTTCCTTTCGACTTGACATTATTTGGTCGTTGCTGGGAAAGCGGCTGAAACTCTAGGCATCTGTCTTATCCACCTCTTTTTCCATTACTCCATTTAATTTTTTGTGCAGTGTAATGTGAATATTTTTTAGTGCCAGGCAGAGGTTGCATCATGGGACAAGGTAAGGGAAATTTAAGCGCAGTCATTCGACAACCAGCAACAAAAGCTAGCTCGACTTGAGTAACTCATAAATCTTACTTCCTGCCTGTCTGGCAGTAAGCAAAGCGTTTTTGCTCAAATCGCACTTGGCCAGAAAATAAACGGCCAGCTTTTATATACTTTATTCGGGTTGTTCTGGCATAGCTAAGAACTTTATAATTTGAGATATTGTCTAATCAATGTTTTCTTGATTGCAGATCTTAGCTCTTGTGGATTATCTGTAGTACGCTTTATTTGCTATGAGGTAAAAATATTTATACAAAATTGTAAATATACATTCTTTTGGCTTAAAAGCAGATAGACGTTGGAGTAACTTGGTCGTTGATCAGCACCATATTTAGGGCCTTTGAATAATAAGTATAAAGATCAGACAATAAGCTTGAACTTATTTGGGAACACATTTACCAAAGTATGAAGGAATGGGAGTGTTTTTGTGTATGTATAAAGGAGTGCTAGAATGTGTGTAGATGTAACACTACCGAGGAATACAGGGTATCTCCTAGTCAGGCACTCTCAACTAGAGCACTCGCAGGCTAATGCCAGAGTAGGCGCGATTAGCGATGCGATAATGTACACTAGACCCTAGACAGAAATTTTTGCCCTTTCAAAGGTAATCGTCTAAAAGATGGCAGAGTTAGAGCCAAGCGAGAGATAATTCCGGCTAATCGAATACATATTATACTAATTATATACATTCGACTTCCTATTTGTCACATCTAGCCTACTGATATGTTAACAAGGGGTTTTCGAACATTGCTTGATTAGCTAGAATTTCTATTTAAATTCAACACATCTAACTCAATTAAATAATAATAAGTTTTCAGTCATTTAAAGTGAATATGCCAGCAAATTTATGCTTCTTGTTTGGCGACCTTCTTTATTTTAAGTTGATAACCACCTCGAGAACTAGGTTTCGAATTGAAAACAAACAGGTTGTTCTTTTCAGTTTTTCTTTCTTTGATATAATTCGAAAGCTCTCCTGCAGTATGCATCAGGGCTTAAATTATTTTGTTAAATCTAAGTAAACCAACAGCTCAAGCAGATTTAGGTTATAGTTCTAGTTTGCGTGTGGAAAGTCCTCCTGTTTGGGCAAAAGCGTGTGTGAAATTGAACCATATCATTGCCGACTGATGTTGCCTTTACTCTTGGCTGTTGACGTGCATACCATATACTTCAAATAGAGGCTTCTGCTTGTTCCTGGTACCTTTATGGTGCCTTTATGCGACGTTTGTACATTTTCCATAATACGACGAGTGCTTATTTTACCTTCTGCAGCTGCTTCTGCTTACCCATTTTGGTTAAGGCCAACACTTTTATTGCATGTCTTATGGAGATTCTCAAACATTATACATACTCTGCACCTCAACAGGAGGAGGTGGGAAATGCCCCCCCCCCCCTCTACCCCCTGAGCAGGAGAAGAAGTGTAGCTGTGCGTCTGTCAGTCAGTCTTCAATCTCTTTTGTGCCTCGTCGCACGAAATACGCATTTCAGCTTTTCTGGCACACGAGCCGCAAACTGCTAATTTGGTTTGATGTATTGCCCCAGAGACATCCATCAGCAGTTGAAGCCAAAACTGACGCTGACTCTGACGCTCTTTCTCGGCGCTACACATTCAACAATGTTTTCGGGGGGCCAAAATGTGTCTCGACTGTTTGGGCCAACAATTGCTTATGCAATATTTTGAGTAGGTATTTTCTGGCTTGCTCTTTGAGCTCGCATTCAGAGAATGTTTGTTAGTACTTGTTAGTATTTGAGCATATGGCGCAGGCGGACCACTTTATATATATAAAATGAGCTATTTATTAAAATAAAGGCATAATAGTTTTGTGCAAATGCATTTAACAGACGAAAGGATAATGTTTCTAGATCTATATATTCTTGATATATTTATAGACTTAATATTCCGACGTTTATTAAAAATCACTGAAAACTTGGTGGGTTTACAAATTATAATTTTTCCATTTTTGTAAGCAGCTAATCACAAAATTGCAATTTTGGAGGCACAGCCTGGACCTTTGTATATCTATGCCCTGAACTTTTCAAAAGAAAGAGAAGGTATTTCAA